CACAACCGCCACTACCACCATTTATTTTTTAAAAAATTATAGAAGAATACCATTTTGTTAATTTAATTTATTTGTTATTAAGAGATATATTTTGGAGAACTCAATTTGAAATTTATTACATTTTAAATTTTAAATTGTTCCAACCAAACATTAATACTATGTTTGGTGTGTGGGAATGAAATGAAATGTAATGCCTATTCCAACCATTCATTTGTTTGGTGTGCAGGAATGGAATAGAATGATCGTTCGATTGAAATGAAAATTCATTCCAGGGAATGAAAATCCATTCCATTACTAAACCTATGGAATGGCCATTCCATTCCATAGTAAGATTAAATATTTTTGTAATATTCCTAATAAGTCATTCATCACATTCTAATAACAGCTAAATATCTTTTGCATAAACAAAAAAATCTTTCACATTCCATTTTTCACGTTTCTCAAGCTTCTTTATTAGACGTGATAAAGGTCTTTCACCTTCTATCTCTTCTGAATATACCCCGTCATTGACAAAAAGTTGCATGACCTTCAACTATATTATATATATATATATATATATATATATATATATATATATAGCCTTTACATTAGCTTCTTAGGTTAAGTATTCAACCAATTTTTGGATAAAATTGTACTGACAAATTTGTTTGTGTCTTCAATCATGGTGGATTGGTTTAGTTGTAAAACTTGAATCCGTGCAAGATTTAAAGCCAATTCTAAAATTTTTGCACTTATTTATTAAGATTAATATCTCATTAAAAATAATATTTTATTTTATTTAAGGTTTTTCGTTATTTTTTTTCAATGGCAGTATTGGGCATCTTATAACATCCCATAATTCATAATCTTAAAAAGTAATATACGCCAATGAAAAGGGTATTTTTGAAAAAAATCATTCCATTCCAAATTTAATGATAGTCAACCAAAAAATAAAATGGTAATAATCATTCCATTCTATCTTGCACACTAAACGTAGCCTAATGGTTATTATTATCCCATTCCTATATATTTTATATTTACAACCAAACAATAGAATGAGGATAGCCATTCCATTCCATTCCCATTCTCATTTCATTCCTACTTGTATTTCATTACATTTCTACACACCAAACGCAGCATTTAATTTTTTTTTTTTGGTATATGTAAGTGTGTTAATTTTGAAAAAAATGATTAAAGGACTCAAGGCCACAGTTTTAATTATAAATTTAATTATGTGCATTGCACATGACAATTTTTTTTTTTTTCTTAATTAATACTCACACACACATGCCTCCACTGAGGTTCGAATCCCTAACCTCACTTTAGAAAGTAGGGGCCTAATACCGCCAGACCACAACATGTTGATCACATGACATTTTTAAGATATAAAATTTTGAAAATATTATTTTCTCTTCCAATAATGCCCTTATATATAAGAATAAGAAAAAAAAAGAGGGATACTTTAGTCATTTCACAATTAATTATTTTTTTAACCTTTTTTTTATTCAATTATAGAGGGGCACTTTAGTCTTTTCAGCATTCGGGTTCTTGTTTGCTTAAAAATTGGAAAAATTATTCATTACAACTGTTGTAATGATGACGTAGTGCAACAGCCGGTTACAAATATTCCACCAAAGCAAAGTGGACCTACAATAGAACTAAAAAGCTGATATATGTGTTTTGGTGAAGTGTTTGTAGCCGTCCGTTGCACTACGTCATCGTTGCAATGAATAATTTCTTCAAAAATATGTATAGGGGTTATACACTCTATATGGGGTGTTTTTCGCTTGCGAACCTTGAATGAATCAAAACCATTTTCCAAAATGATTGAACTGGCAATAACTTCTTTGTTATGTAATCAATGGTCTAGATTAGTTTTCCATTTTATTATGGTCTTTAGGTTACACAAATAACCAACGGGCCATGTCTAGCGGTATCAGCCTCTTACTTCTCAAAAGGAAGTCAGGGGTTCAAGTCTCAAAAGAGACATGTGTGTGCAAGTACCAACTAGAAAAAAAAAAAAAAAACAGATAATACTTTGTTCTTCAATATGTTGGCCTCAAAATCCATAGATAGAGTAGTGAATTTGAAAAAAATAATTTTTAATTTAACACCCAATTAACAGGTCGAACACTAATATTGGGACAACAAGTGTAGACAATAAGGTTAACGGGTTGGATACAGATATCGAGACAATAAGTGTGGACAATAAATGTAAGAGTTTTCTGAAACTTTGGTACCTTCCCATCCAAACTCTCACCTTTTCTTTTAAGGAAAAATTATACTATTCGAATTAAATGCCTCTGATAAGTTTTTGAATTTAGGATTTGGATGATCTAGATGTATGGAGCTAAGAAAGCCTCATTGCATATATAAATTTACTAGTTATGTCCTTTTTTATTATTTATTATTTATTATTTATTTATGCCACTTGGGCATTTAGTAGTCTTTCTCTTAAAAAAAAAATATATATATATATACACTATCAGATACTTACACGTCACATGCAACGCCCATTTGATTGTTTGTGCATGCAGTGGACTTATTACTTTATATTTAAATTAAATTATCTTAATTAATATATATGTATATATATAATGTACTTTTATTGTTTTATTAATTTTTTTAATATTATAGACACTTAGCTATGGCCGATAAATCATGGAAGTAGAGTTGGATTTAAAAAAATTTAAAAAAATTGACAAAATTTGATAATTAATTACTAAAATACCCTTTTTACATACTTTCTTTTTCTAAACGTGAATAAAATATTATTTTAATTACAATTCAATTCCTTTTACAATTATAATTTCAAAGAGTAGGCTAATGTTGAATTGGATTTTCTGGCCTGTATAAATTTACTAGTTATATTCTTTATTTTTATGCCACTTGGGCATTTAGTAGATTCTCTCTTAGAAAAAAAAATACAATATCGGGGTACTTACACGTCTCTACTTGCAGATGCCCCATTTGATTGCATGGGCATGAAGAGGTGATTTTTTTGTTTACATTTAAATTAAGTTATATTAATTATATGTGTGTGCGTGTGTGTATAATGTACCGTTATTGTTTTCTTACTTTTTATTTTTTTTATATTATACGACCTTAGTTATGGGTTTTAACTGAAAACAAATCTTAAAAAAAATTGACAAGATTTGGTAATTAATTAGTACTATAAATATACTTTTTACATGCTACCCTTATCTAAAGGTGAAATAATTTAGGGGTTATGTCACGGAAAAGGACAACAAGATAGTTTTTTTTATTAGTTTTGAGGTTTTTTTATTAATTGAGGAAGCTATTTGTTATTTTTGGAAATAATAAGAGAATTTTATAATTTTAAACGACAATTATGATAGTGTTGGCGCCACCGCCACCATTTATGGCGGTTGTGCCTTTAATTTTGCAGGTGGTGCTGGAACTATGGTGGGGATCAGTGGCGTAGCTACAGAGGGACAAGTGGGGGCAGTTGCCCCCACTGAATTTTTAATTTTTTTAAAATTTTATATAGAAAGATTTTTATATTGGTATAATTATTCCCTCTAAAATTTGACAATGCACGTATATATACCACACATATATATAACCAAAAGCCTCTAAAAATTGACCGTGCACGTATATATACCATATACATATGTATATATAACCAAAAACTAATTCACGATTATCTATCAATTATTACTTTTCCAGAAAATATGATATTTTTTTCACTTTCCTAAAATATTATATTTTTTTTTTTACTTTCCAAAAAAGAAATTTTTTTTTATCAAGATATTCTATTATACTTTTAATTTTACCACAAACAAATAGATTGTTTCTATTATATCATCAGTCTACAAACATTTTCCATAATCTAAACAAAGCAAGCGGAGTTACCAAACAGAGACTCAATGCAGCGGTAGACAGGTAATATGATATATTTTTTTTGTCATCTAAATTTTACAATTATTATTTGATATTATAATTTTAGTTAGGAAAATTATTACTTATTACTATCAAAATTTAGTTTATGTAATTGTGTTATTAATTATTATTCTGCAAATAAAATTTAGAATTTTTTTTATTTTTTATTTTCACCCCAAATCAATGAAATCACAGATTCAACTCTATCAAATTTTTTGATAGATTGAATTATCTGCTTATAACTTATAAGGTTAGATTTGGTTATCATGTTTTTTTATTTTTATTTTTTCTACATATGTGATATATTAGGACAATTAGGTAACTGTGTTATTTTCTTTTTCATATCTTATTCTTGATTCATTGAATATGATTTTTTTTTTAGTATATTTAATTCAATGAATTAAATTTTGAAATAACAATGAATAATGTGAAAAATCATTGTGCCTATATACAAAGACGAGAGATTTAAAAAGAAAAACTATCATTTAAATTACTCAAATAACCCTTATATAAATTACATAGAAATACATTTTAAGAGTACATATGTCCCAAAAATATGGGAATAAGCTTCCCATATATATATATATATATATATATATATATATATATATATATATATATATATATCTTGAACGAAAAGTGTGCAAAAAAAAAAAAATTAATTAGTGAAAAATTTGATTTTTGTGGCGGACCCCATGAAGGACATAATTGTCATTTAAAAAAATGACATTTAAATTTTAAATAAATATTATACTCTGAAGGTTATTTTTGTCATTTTATAATAATTTAGCGGTTACAAAAAAAGAGGAACATGATAGTAGTTTTTATTAGTTTCGAGATTTTTTTATTAGTTAAGAGAGTTATTTATAATTTTTGAAAATAATAGAAAATTTTTATTATTTTAGCCCTTTTCATATTCTAGTTAACTATAGCTGATAAGTTAGGTTTTAACCAGGTAGTCAAATCTTAAAAAAATTGAAATTTTTTTGACAAGATTTGATAATTAATTACTTAAATTACTAAAATATTCTCTCTTTTTTTAGTACATTCCTTATTTAAAGGTAAAATAAAATATTATTATAATTACAATACAATTCTTTCTTTTTTCAATTCTAATTTCAAAGAGTAGGGTTTAGGTTTAAATATACGCTATATCTTCTTTCCTTACTCATCATCTTCTATTCAGTCGCCTCCAAGTCCTCCACTCGCATAAACCCTAGCCCAAATGGCGTCTTTCCCTTCCAATTCGACTCCCCCTAGCCCAAATGACCTGGTTGAGTGGCGTGGCTACCTGTGCAAATTTCGGAATGTTCCTTGTCTCGACAAGCTTTGGAGTCTTCATCCAGAGACCTTTGGAGTCTAACAATTTCTGATTTAGGATAGAGAAATATATACACATGTGTGTGTGTATATGTCCATATTTAGGGCTTTTTTTCGTTACTTACCCGCTAATAGGCCTTACAACTGTTTTTCAAATGGCATCAGCATTCACACACACCACCTGTTCGACGAAACGTCCAAGAGAGACCTCTATTCGCTGAATTCACTTCTCGCCTCGCACGTTCGCAGTAGAGATGCTCTTGCGGCATGGACTCTCTTCTACCACATCCACAGCACGCATTCCGACCTTAATGCCTACACATTTACGCCAGTGTTGGGTGCGTGTTCGGCTCTGTCAGACCCCAAAAGGGGCCAACAAGTCCATGCTTTGATGATTAAAACAGGTTCCGAATCAGAAACCATCACCAAAACTGCTCTCATTGACATGTACTCCAAGTACGGCCAATTGGGTGACTCGGTTTGTGCATTTGACGAGATGGGTTTCAAGGACGTGGTCACTTGGAACACTATGCTTTCGAGCTTTCTACGCCACGGTCTTCCCATGAAAGCACTCAGTGTGTTTGAAATGATGAGTAAAGAAAGAGTGGAAATTAGTGAGTTCACTTTGTGTTCCGTGCTTAAAGCTTGTACCTTTTTGAATGCCTTTCGACAGGGTAAGCAAGTTCATGGATTGGTAATTGTGATGGGCCGCGATTTGGTGGTGTTGAGTACTGCTCTGATTGATTTTTACTCAAGTGTTGGGTACATAGATGAAGCAATAAAAGTTTATGGCAAGTTAAGCCTCCGAAAGGACGATGTGATGCGCAATTCCCTTATTTCTGGTTGTGTTCGCAACCAGAAGTATGATGTGGCCATGTCAATCATGAGTTCCATGAAACCCAATATAATCGCACTCACAAGCGCTCTTGCTGCTTGCTCTGTGAATTCAGATTTGTGGACTGCAAAGCAGATACACGGTGTAGTGATCCGTCAGGGTTTCACTTTTGACACCCAATTGTGCAATGTGCTATTAGACATGTACGCAAAGTGTGGGAAAATTTTGAATGCCCGTTTGGTTTTTGATGGAATTTTTCAAAAAGATGTGGTTTCTTGGACTAGCATGATAGATGCATATGGAAGTCATGGTCACGGACTTGAAGCTCTTGAGTTGTTCAAAAAGATGGGGGAGGAGGAAAATCGTGTATTGCCAAATTCCGTGACTTTTCTTGCTGTTTTATCCGCTTGTGGGCATTCGGGATTGCTGGAACAAGGCCGGGCATGTTTCATTTTAGTCCAGGAGAAGTATGGTATGGACCCAGGTCCAGAGCATTATGCCTGTTTCATGGATATATTAGGCCGGGCAGGTCGGATAGAAGAAGTGTGGGGTATGTTCGATCATATGGTTAAAAATGGTACAAAGCCTACTCATGCAGTATGGGCAGCATTACTGAGTGCTTGTAGAATTAACCATGATGTCACTAGGGGTGTGTTTGCAGCAAAACATCTCCTTGATTCGGAGCCTGATAATCCCGGGAATTATGTAGCACTTTCAAATTTCTATGCAACCATTGAAAGGTGGGATTTGGTTGATGACTTGAGAAGCATTATGAAGACAAGAGGCCTTGTAAAGGAAGCTGGAAGTAGCTGGGTCGCTGTCGCATGCAGCCATCAAAATTTGATCAATCTAGAGAGGTAATATACTTCCCGGTTGTGCATAGTTGGCCTTATATATATATATATATATATTGGCATGTAGGATCTGTATTGATCAATCACTACAGGCTATTGAGCTGGGGTATGGTTGTCACTTTTGAATCAACTATTTCTGGGCAAGATCTAGTGTGATGTCCTTGTTAGCTAGTGTGATGTTCTTGTAAGTGTTTATAGATGTAGTGTGATGTCCTTGTAAGTGTTTATAGGTGTTATGAACTTCCCATCCCACTGTCCTTTCAAACATTACTGTTCCAAACGTTATAATAGTTGTTACCGTAAATGATTTTATTAGAGTTAAACGCTATGGTAACATAGCAATCTTTTTACCTAAAAAAAAAAAAAAGACATAGCAATCTTATTTTTGTTACCAATTTGCAATATTGGTAGGCTTACTTAGCTTTCTTACTTACTGAAGAATTATCCTCTGAGAGTGCGCCGCAGCCTTCTCTGCGTGATGTTGAAGCTGAATTGCGTGATATAAGATTGAGTTTATTGATGGAGATTGAGAAGCCGAAGCAAGCAGAAGAAGACCTGAGTAATATGCAAAGCCAGTAGCTGAGGATTCGGGATCAGTTATCTCTTGTGGGCGTTACACTTCCTGCGGATTTAACAGAGCATGACCAACAGGAAGTTGATCTTGCAGAAGAGGTCAGCCGCCAAGTCTATTTTGCTCGGTTTGTGTCGAATTCCATTGGTAGGGGAACTGCAAAGGCTGAGGTTGAGATGGAGATGGATGCTCAGATAGAATTAAAGAACTTTGAGATTGCTCGGCTATGTGACAGATTGCATTATTATGAGGCCGTGAATAGAGAGATGTCTCAGAGGAACCAGGAAGCAGTAGGTGAGATTACCTCATAGTTTTTATAATTTCTATTTCTCACCTCAAACATAGTTGTTCTCTTTTTTCTTCATACTCTTAGATGGGTTTTATTTATTTCTGCTTCATATATCAATGTTACAAGATTTTAATGGAAGTGTGAAAATATCAATGGAAGAAAATTATCAATGTTAAAAGATTTTAATGTCTAGCTCTTTCGTGATCTATTGAAGTGTGAAAATATATATATATATATATATATATATATATATATATAGACACACACACAAGTGGGTTGTTATGCACGTGCTCAACGCACCCTTCATCTACAAAGTAGGAGAATGGTCGGAGGGCTTGGTTGTTGCATGCCTATTAATGGCTATTGCCTGCTAAACTAACATGATGGGCTTCATATCATCATTTTTGGGAACATACACATGAATATATATATATATATATGTGTGTGTGTGTGTGTGTAACAAAATCAATATTTGTGTTATACTAAGTATGTTTTTATGATATGGACATGAGAGCGGAGGGGACATTATCAGTTAGTTAATTGCAATGTCTTTATGATGACTCTTTGGTGAAGGCGTGCAAGTTTCAACAACCACTTTTGTCATTCACATTATCGATTGGCTAGGCAACCCCATGCTCCTTGAGGATTCTGAATACGACTAACCCAGCAATAATTACAAAATATGAGAGAGAAATAAATACACTACATAAAGATTTATATTTGATTTGGTAAAACATATATATGTACGTGGAGATCTGACGAAAGTTTTTCATATGTGTAAAATTAAAGATTACAAGTTGCAGCTCTTCACTGTCTCTTTGTACGATTTTTAGTGTCTCTTCCTTTTACGATTTTCAGTGTCTCTTGATGATCGCACTTCAAACCATAAACACCCTTATATATGAGGTACACGAGAGTACTGATTAGGATCCACAACCCATGAACAAAAATGGGTCACTGAGTAACAAATTTTAATAATTTAGAAAATTAGTTGCAACTTTTAAAATTCACGAGAGTTTCTTGCAAATTTATCAATAGTTCAGAGGAGTTTATTGTTTTTTATTTTTTAATAGATTTATTGTCTTAAAAATCTATGTGACACTTTATTTACTGGAAAAATAAAAACAAAAATCTCCACGAGTACAACATAGCATCCGCATTCAAATATTTTGTTGAAAAATAAATTTTAAAGTCACTTGAGAGGTGAAAAGATCATGCCAATTGAGTGTATATATATGGGTTAATTACACTCACAGCTCCTGAGGTTTGACCTATTGACAGACAGATGAAACTTAATCCCTTTTTGAACAATTACATCCCCTCAAGTTTGTTAAAGTTAACAAAGACACCCCTACCACATCTGACACAGGGTGAATTGACTTTTTTGCCCCTTGACTTATTAATTGTCTTATTTAAATAATAAAATTTCCTTTTTAACCATCACACCCACCGCCACCACTCACAGCCCCATCACCACTCACACCCCCACCACACCCACAAACACATAAATCATCAAATTCAGCCTGTATATAGATATATTATATATACACATATGTAAAAATCCCATTAGAGAGAGTCTCACACAAACACAAACGAATAATATAGGGTTAAATGTAAAAAAAAACCCTTAAACTATTGTCATTTCAGCAACAAACCCCCCTGAACTATAAAAAATGCAACTAACCCCATGAATTATGCAATTTTGTTGCAGATGACCCCATCCGACTAATCTCCGGCAATTTTTGACTGTAACAGTGCATAAGTTGAAAATAAATGACTATAGTGCCCTTATACACATGAAATGACAAAAAAACCCTAATTGTTAAGGTTACAACCAAACAAGTAACTAATAGGTTCTAATGATAGCTAAACACCCCTCATTGGTACGATTTCTAGTCTCGGCACTTTCTTCGATTGAGGTCCCTCTTCTCTGAAGATTGCCTATCGTCCCAAAGATTCGCTCAATCCCTTTGGTCTCGTATTCAAAACCGGAACTGGTCACTTCGGGTTGCCGATTTCGAGCTTCATGACTATGAGCACTGAGTTCAATCTGATTGGCAACCAAAACCCTAGCTTCTTCGTTCACTTAAAGCCTCAGTTCGGCGACTTCTCGATTAAGAACTCACAATCGTCGGATTTCGTGAAGAACATTAAAGCAAAACCAAATGGCGGAGGTAATCGATACGCCGCTTGTGAAAAGTGGGTACTTGACGGAGAACGAACTGTTCTCCGGCAATAAAATTACGATTTCGCCCTTAGAATCTCAGGCGGCGAGTATGATTGGAGCTTTATTAAATGGTACGGAGGTAAGTGCGAGGACTGTCTTACCGATGAGAAAGAGCGTCGTCGCCGTAGCTGCAGCACCATCACCATCACCTTCATAAACGTCGCCGTCGCCGCCGCCACAACAGCATCATCACCTCCATACACGAATTTGCCCCAATACATTTCAGATATATACCTTGTATATATATATATATATATATGTATGTATATATCTTAGCCGCCGCAAGTCAGCCCATTTCTCCACCACCATAGCCACCGTTTCCTCGCGGACTCCTCTCTGCCGTCACTCCATAACGCCCACCATCATCCAAACCAGCCAAGCTCACCGCCGTTCCTCCGTTGCTGTAGATGATGGCAAACACTTCCTCGCTGAAGAAGAACGAACCGGCAGTTATTGGGATATCTATTTTCCGTTACCCTTATTTGATTAGACCCTAAACCATGTTCGGCGACCTTCTCCCATGTACGGCAAAATCTTGATTCCTTAAATTCGATGAACTTTTGGCAAAATCATATTTCCATGGCTGATAATCCTTCTTCCATGTTGAGATCTCAATTTTGTGATCATAAAAAAAAAAAAAAAAAAAAAAAAAAAAAAAAAAAAAAAAAACTAATTCCGAACGGTGACACCGATTCTGATTCTTCGTTTCTGTCTAGCGATGTCGACGTAACTTCGAGTTCTTCAATCTTTATACTGCAATCAGGTGGATTTGGCCGTCGAACATGGTGGGCAAGGAGAACGTCGCCACAGATGTAACGCAAATGGGTTTTACAACCTATTAAATTTTTTATCATTTTTGTTATTTATTTTTAAGGTAATTTACACAGACCTCCCCTATAGTTTGCCATAATTACAGGCGGCACCCTTCCTGTTCTGAAAATTACTCGGACCTTCCCTACTTTTAAAATATCCTACATGGACCTCCCTTCTGTTAGAGTCAACGGCAGTCAACGATGGAAAATGATGACGTCATCTATCAATTTTAGTAAAATTCCTAAAATGCCCTTGTCCCTACCAATTGATATACATATATATATATATATATATATATATATATATATGATATTATATGTGTATGCCACCTCCTTTGAGTTGATGACGACGACGACGTTGACAGAGGATTACGATCCGGTTCTTCAGTACCATAGTCTAACGCCAAATGGAAGATCTCTTATGGTCGCTTCCAACCTAATCCCCAAGACATTGTTACGGAAATTCAACTATTTTGATTCAATGAAGATCAGATCCAACTCAATTCAAGAATTTAATCGACAATTTGAGTTAGATGTTTGAAGAACCTTGTGTGAGTGAAATTATGGTTTAAAAGATAGATTGTACCCGACATTAATAGCAAGATTAGGGTTATATATATGTGTGTTTATGTGTGTAGGGAAAGAGAGAATATAATTGGAATATGCAGATCAGAAAAGTGAAAGTTAATGCACTGTAAGTTATAAAGCTATTTCTTTTCGTTATTGCAATTTGCAATTGAACCAAGCCGCAACGACGCCGTCTCAGTCAAAGTATTGATTTAAAGATGACTTCACCTGATTAATGGAATACATATACAATTTCATTTGCGCTGTATTTATCATTTATTTCATTGTTGTGATTCTTGGTTTATATATTATAATAATAAATGATCATACTCTCTCTGTAACCTCTCTTAATTGTGTTTTGTAGTTAAATATTGATTTGGTTGATTTGATTAATTTTTTGGTTTGTGGGTGTTGATTATTTGTAGTTTTTAAGTACAAGAATGGATCAGACTCTGTTCTGGCTGTGAAGAAAGATGATTATGACAAGTGGAACACAAAGAAGCTGATCATGAAGATGGACGATGGTGATTCAGTCTTCAAGTTTGATCGGTCCGGTCCATTCTTCTTTATCAGTGGAAACAAAGATAATTGCCAAAAGGGTCAGAAGCTTATCATTGTTGTTTTGGCAGTCAGAAACCATCACAAGTCTCCCCCAGTGGCCATACCTCTGGCACCGGTGGGTTAGACTCCGGCATCGTCACCGTCACCAACAAAGTCCACCCCTTCGCCAGCCCCAGCTACAACACCATCTCTAATTTCTCACGCTACGTCGGCAACGTCATTGTCACCCACAGGATCCTCCCCTTCGTCGGCCCCAGCCACAACACCCGTACTGTCACCATCTCCAATTTCTCACACTCCGCCGGCAACGTCACCCATCTCTCCATCTCCGGTGACTATGCCTTCGGTAAGTTCTCCGGTTCTAGCTATGACACCCAAATCGCATTCTCCGGCGACCCACTCCCCGGTCCCGTCTCCAACCTCAGTTGTCTCACCGGCACCGTCAATTGCACCAGTAATTCATCATTTATTTCCGTTAGTGAGTATGTCAGATTGGGAGAATTTATAGAGAGAGAGAGGGGGGTACTTTAGTCATTTACCATAGAGAATTAAGGGCATTTCAGTAATTTTGACAGCTCCGTTAGTGTATTTAACGGTCCGTCAAACATAAGGGAGGTCCGTGTAGGATATTTTCAAAAGTAAGGGAGGTCCGCATAATTTCCGGAATAGGAAGGGTGCCGCCTATAATTATGGCAAACTATTGGGGAGGTCTGTGTAAATTACCCTTATTTTTATTTTTGGCTGACTTTGTTTCTCTTTTTTATTGGTTTTTAAATTAGTAGTTGACATGTCACCAAAGCTCAATTGGTAACTCTCAAAACTACGTAGTTTTAATTGAGGGTAAATGTGTCTTTTCATTTTCCCGACCAAGTTACTTGCCGGAAAGGACTGAAATACAACAAATCAATAGTTCAGGAGTTTTTTTGTAGTTCAAGGGGGTTTGTTGCAATATGGCAACAGTTCAGGGTTTTTTTTGCATTTAACCCAATAATATATACAGATATATCTATATATATATAGATATATATTTTTCGGAAGGTTATACAGATATATATATTCCTACATTAGAAATCATTTACTTGGATACATGTGTTTCTGTATATCTATATATTGTTTGTATGATTGTTAAAGGATATATATTTGCTGAAAAGGAAAGTTGAAGAATTGAGTGTCTTTTTTTCTTCTCAAAAGGTGAGAAATTGAGTGTGTTTGTGATCACATATACATACATACGCACAACACATACCAAATTCAATAACTTTCCTTTTAATCAAATCCTTTCTCTCTACAAAAAAATCTGATTTCAATCACACATTAGTCACACAGAGAGATAATTAATACACAAATATAATACACAATGAAGAGTTGAAGAGTTGAAGAATTTTTTTTTTTTTCCTTCAAAAATTCAAGTTAAATCATGTTTCAATACATTACTTGAAAAGTGTTTGCATTTGATGTTACCCACCAATATGTTCGTAAGTGATCACTTTTCTTTTTTTTTTCTTTTTTTTTTTTTTTTTTTTTTTTTTCGGGCAAGAATGTTAAATGAGAAGTTAGATGTGCAAAAGTTCGAAATCAGACTCTCAAAGACAACAGGGAGCAATCCAACCATTGGTTTAGGAAGGTATTCGCTCCGTATGTGATAACTAACCAAGGCTATTGATTGTAAAACATTACATGTAGTAAGAGAAAATGTTAACATATTTGGTTTGAAAACTGTTATTCAGGGCTGCTACTAGTTAGGTTTATTCGTCAATGTGAAATAATTAAGGTCACATTAATAGCCTGAGTGGCGTTGTTGTTTTCTGGTGTGATAACAAATCCATCATTTGCTATGAAGCACGAATATGAATACAAGATACGAATACAATACGATATGAAAAATACGTCGGAATTCAAAAAATAATAAGATACGGTGTGGTATGGATACATCAATATATATATATATATATATATATATATATATATATATATATATATATAATATTTGTTATCATTTTATTCATATAATTATAAATAAATTACTAAGTTGTAATTTATAGCTAGATGCCTGTTATTTTTGTTTTCTTAAATTTTATATTATTTTCTAATTAATCCATAATATATTTTAGATTGCATTGAATTCTATTTTTTTTTATAAAAAAAAAAAAATTTACAAAATTACCGTGTCGTATCCTTATAGTGTTCAAAATGTATCATTGCCATGTCACAACCGTGTCAGACCAAAAAATAAAATATTGATAATTCATGATACTTCTAGTTGTTTTAAATAAGTATCATTCATGTATTCAGAAAGTATCTGAATATCTGAAATCCCCGCAACAGCTTAAAAGAAATATTTGTACATCCTTGTTTCTAGAAGTATTTTGGTAGTTTGAGACTCTTTTCCTGTTGTACATCCAATCAGTGGCGTAGCCAGGAGGCAATTTTTAACAACAATAATATATATATATATATATATATATATATATATATATATATAATTTGAACCAAAATAATATATATAAAAATTAAACAGTACAAAATATTTCAGAATATTTTTCATATTCTAAAAGTATTGAATAATAACATCATTGTCAACAATATTAAATATGTCTCTCTCAATATACACAACCACCATATTATTCATCCATTGGTCTTCCATTCGATTGCGCAGTCGAGTTTTCAAAATATTCATGGCATAGTAATCGTAAATTTAGATGATAAAAAAATATATATCAGATTACCTGTCTCCGCACTGTAGTATTTGTTTGGATTTTGTGAATTTTTGAAATGTTAAAGACTCGCCGAAAGAGAAATGTTGAAGACTGAAAATGTGATGGAAATAACGCATTTATTTGTGATAAAGTCAAAAGTGTGAAAAATTATCTTGTATTTTTGGAGAAAGTGGAAAAAAATATAATATTTTGATAAAGTGAAAAAAAATATCATATTTTTTGGAAAGATTATATTCCTTCCAAGATTCAAGTGGAAGCATATGTGCCCTTGTTTTTCAATCCTCGGGAAGTGAAGGAAGAAAAAGAAGCATCCCCTTAAGTAGAAACGATGGTTAACATGTACTGCAATCAAACCATTGTGGCTTTTCAGTGGACTCTTTAAGTTCAGCAACCTGCCTTTCTTGGTAGTAAGACTTAATATATTGAAGATGAAACTGTACAAAGGCCGAAGCCCACATAAGAGCAAAAACAGAGGGAAACTCAGCCCAGAACTACAAGCGATTCAGTTGAAAGAAGACAATTATATTCTAAATAAACCCTAGAATACTGTTGTCTAAGTCAACAATACAGCCGGTGTGATAAGATACAGAGGCAGAGCCTCGAAGATTCAGTCCGGCTCAGGTGGCGGCCGGATGAAGGATGAAGGACGAAGGAAGGTCCCAGTCTAGAGCAAGCCTCCTCCCAAGAGCAGAGTCCTTTACCGGCATCGAGATGAGCCTTTGCTTTACCATATCCATGGAAGATCTAAGAATTTTTTATTAAGAATTCCTCTTTCCTCGAAAGATCTTATCATTCCTTTCAGTCCAGATTCGGTTTATGACGGTGGAGAGGACCAACAAGTTGGTTGAGATTTGTAGATTCCTCTTTCTCCATCGAGCTGATGCCCAAGTAATGAAGTCATTCCATCGGCATTTAATTTGCATGAAGCTCCAGATAGGTTTCATGAATGGGCAAGCAAAGAACAAGTATTCATGCGACTCATCCGATGACTGACAGAGACAACATAATCTCGATCCAGAGAAAGATTGCATACAATTTCTATCTAAAGTAGAGAGACGGTTCTGCACGGCAAGCCAAAGTGTGACCCTACATCGAGGAACAAAAAGGGAACTCCAGATGAGGTGGTGCCATGGCCTTGGTTGTTGATGTGGAGTCAACCAATCCACTGTGTGGCTAAGGGAGAATTCTCCATTTAGTGAAGGAATCCACAAATCTGAATCCGGCGAGGTGATTGGAGGGTCAATTAGCTGCAAGTGCTTGGAGGGTCGATTGGATCTGCTTGCAGTGATGGAGACTGGAATTTCTCCTGACAATATGGAAACTATACAAAAATTTATTTCTCTCTCACCTAGCTTGTCTGATCACAGTCCCATTCTTATCAGACTTGGGGTCAATGTTCAGAGGAGGGTGTTGCCATTTAGATTTTTTAATAATTGGGTATCCAGTCCGCATTTCTTGTCCTCAGTGGAACAGGTGTGGGCAACTAACTTTAGAGGTTCAGGGATGTTTCGGATTGTACAAAAGCTGAAAGGTATTCTTAAGCAGAGGTGCAGAGTGGAGATCACACAGGCTACAGCCATGGTATCCCAGGTTAAGAGCTCTTTAGATTCTTGCCAACTCCAGCTGGATGTTAATCCGAGGGATGCGGCTCTCAAGCAGCAAGAGAATGAGTTATTGCAGCAATACACCTCTCTAGTACTTGCTGAAGAGCAGTTTATTAGGCAAAAATCAAGGGCTAGGTGGATTAAAGACTTTCCAGTCTATCAAAGGAACAATGTAGTGGGGATCAATGCCCATTATGGGTAATTAATCAAACACTATGAATAGTATAGTGGGGTTTTTCGGTCTTGAATACATAATATGGTAGAATTTTCGGGTTATAATTTCTCAGAATTTGCCTGTACATCGGACGTTCCTTTTATTTCTTCAAGCAAAGTTCTAATGTGATTTGACAAATGAAAGCAAGGCATTCTATCTTATTCCTTAAAGGAATTTGTTTTTTGATTTTTTTTTCTTAATTTCCCCTTTTCTGTTTCCTTCACTATTTATTGCTTTCAAAAAATGAATAAATGAAAAATTAAAATAATGATAAAAATAAAAAATAAAATTATGGAGGCACGAAGGTTGAGCATTTTGCTTTAGGACTATTTCTATATTTTTGTGTGTACTCTTTTAATATCCTTTCTTTGTGTCTTCAGGAAGCTTGGAACAAATTTAACTCGGAAGAACTGTAGCTGAAGCTTATCTATGTCTGCAAGCGGGCATAAAAGATTTGATGTGATAGCACATCCTGTAATTTATACAGCTAGCTAATAAAGTCTTCTATATATGTCTAATATATATATATATATATATATATATATATATATTCAGAACGGAAGCTTCAACTACATGGAAATTGGCAGGAAAGAGTTATTATTGAAAGAAAAGTGGGCAGCTCTTTATTTTATAGGGGAAAAAAAATCATTCCACTCATGTGGCATGTTATATATATGAGGTTGCAACTGGGGTGAGTTGAGAGGTCAACTCAGGCTCAACCCAATGTGTTCAAACCCAATCCAAATGCACCTTCAATCCATGGATCTCAACCCAAGCCCAACCCACTCCTAAATATTTTAAGTTGGGCCAAAAAAAATTTTGGTCTAAAAAATTTTGGTTTTTTTTTTTTTTCCCTCGTCCCTATACCAATCTCGAACCCTAGACCTCAAGATTGAGAATTTAAACCCAAACCCAGTAAGACAAGGGTATTTTTCAAAGGATTGATATGTGATAAATCAAGATCTAAAGAATAGTTATATATAATATATTCAGAATTATAAATATAAAAAAGTTGGATTAAGATTCAGGTTATAGCTGGGTCTTCTTGTTGACACCTCCATTCCAGTTCAAACCTAATTAAGTTTGGGTAAGTTCATTTTGTGTTTCAGAAATCGTTGTCCAAGTTTTTGAAAAATGGAACTCGTATCTAGTTGGGTTCTCGTTGACAATAATTATTGATCAACTAAATTTTTTTAAAAAACATTTGAATTATATAAAATATTATATTTAAAAAATAGAAAATAATTCTAATTAACAAGTTGAACATTATTGAAGGTTTGAAGTCATACATTGTTCCAAGTTATTGAAGATTTGAAAAAGAAGGAAAAAAAAGTTGTTCTTTCGATGATGATTTTATTACAACAGATTACTTTTACAACAATAGAAGCAAACACCATGCCATACTCTTATTATCATAAAATATATACAGCCGTGATTCTCTTTCTTATGCCTCTAAAACCTTGCCATTGGCATGGTCTTTTCAACTAGAATGTAGAAGCAATCCCTTCTCAACCTTGCCGTTGACATGCATGGTCTTTTTCACTAGAATGTGGAAGCAATTCCTTCTCTCGGCATGTCTCAATCGCTCCTTTGAACATGTCCTCTAAGTTGTACTTAAATTCAAACCCCATCCCTTTCAACTTCTTCGACGAGAAAGAGACGACTTGCAAGTCCTTCTCAATGCCCTTAAACCTATCATGGCCATTGTCAAAATCATTAACCAAGTTAGTTTTCACTATACGAAGAAAAAATAGAGCGTATAGTTTTCTCCAGTCTCCATTCGCTTGACCATATTCAAAGTAAAGGTCGCATATAGATCGTATAACACATAACACTCTATACATTTTAAAAAGTCTCAAACATTTAATTTTGGAGCAAATAAAGACTTGACTACTGAAAAGGCTAAAATGTCTCTCTATAATTAAATGGGCTCCATTTTATAAATTGATATGATTTTTGGTACGATTTATATTCTGAGATTGATGTGAGGTGGATTCGAAATAAATTTTAGTGTGTATATATATATATATATATATATTGAAGAGGCTTACTCAGTGGGGACATTGTACTCGGGCCATTTCTCTCGAAGCATTTTAGCCAAATCGTAAATGGTTCCATCATGAGAAGAGCAAATGTATCTTCCCTCTGCTTGAGGATTCTCATACAAGAATATATGAGATTGGCACAGATCATCAAGATGAACAAATTGACCTTGCTTTATAATTGAGTAGTGAGCTTCATTCCCTGTACAATTTAATAACCATTAACAACTCTATATATATATATATATATATGCATATGCAAATTAAAATGCACCTGTGATTGGTGAAAGAGCAGTAATTAGGCTGGGTGGAAATGTTGGAGTGATAAAAGGGCCCACCACTAGTGTTGGTATAATACTGATGAAATCAATGTTGTTCTCTTTAGCTGCGTCCCATGCTGCTTTCTCTGCCAATGTTTTTGACACAAAATACATCTGCATATGTGTGTGTGTGTGTATATAGAGAGAGATAAATTAGATCCATTGTTGTTTCAATTTTATTTTTATTTTCTCAACTTCTGAAAAAAATATTCCCCAAAAGTCAATATTTCGTTTAGAATGACTCGAACTCTCAACCTTCTCAACCTTCCCCTTTACGGATAAGAGATCATTAAATATTTCTAATAAGATAAAATAAGTTTTTCTTATTTGTTTAGAATTGTTTTAATTTCACACTATCTTGTTATCTTACTAGCACGGAAACTATATGCATTAGCATTAGATAGGATAATTTTGGACGCGGGCTCATTGGAATCACGTCTACGAGTGAAAGATTGAACTTTCCTTTACGTATTGTCCCGAAAATTTAGTTTGGGCAAAAACCCGGATGCCCAGTTATTAGGGCATACCTTATGTATGTATAAAGATAAAGTGGCAAAGATTGATAGAGGCAATGAAAATACTAACCCAACCAGTCATCTTCTTCTTATAGATGAAATCCAAGTCACTCCAATTGGTTTCATCAAACACAGGTTGTTGGTGTTCTTGGACATCGACTGTTCCAGCTGAGGATGTGAAGACTAGCCTCTTCACTGTCTTCGCTTTCACACATGATCTTATGATGCTTAACACACCATTGATTGTCGGCTTAATCACTTCATTCTGTTGTACATAAATAGGTTAACAAGTTCGTGTATATATAATTCACTATATATATATATATATATATACCTCAGGATCCTTGGATTCAAAGTCCATAGGTGTGGCCACATGAAACACCCCACAGCAACCTTCAATGGCTTCATCAAAACTTCCTTCTTCATTAAGGTCAGCTTTCCATAGTGTCAAGTTCGTATCAGCTTTTGGTAAGTCCATCAAGTGCTTCACTTTCTTTTTATTCTCTGTACCACCATATATATATATATAAATTTCTCATTTATAAATTTGTTTACAAAAAACTCCAGTGTGTGCGCACTTTGAACCATCGGAAGTAGTACACACCCGTGTTAAATTGTATAGAATCCGAGTTCGTGTTACACACACAAAACCTCTATCTATACGCACGTGTGTATATATATATGTGTGTGTGTGTATTTGACTAAATTAAGAACATGCAAGAGAAAGTATATGTACCAGGGTCACGAACAGTGGCACGAACAGTATAGCCCTGCTCGAGAAGGCGCATGACGAGCCATGACCCGATGAATCCGGCAGCTCCTGTGACGCAAACGGTGGTGGCCGGTGCCTCCCCTGTCATGTTTATATATATTTTATATATTAAAATATATATGATTTTAGAAATGGGAAGGGAATATAGGACAATAATTACAAGGATAATATTATGTATTTGGGAAGAAAATTATCAATGTTACAAGATTTTAATGTCTAGCTCTTTCGTGATCTATTGAAGTGTGAAAAAATATATATATATATATATCTATACACACACAAGTGGGTTGTTATGCACGTGCTCAACGCACCCTTCATCTACAAAGTAGGAGAATGCTAGGAGGGCTTGGTTGTTGCATGCCTATTAATGGCTAACGCCTGCTAAACTAACTTGATGGGCTTCATATCATCATTTTTGGGAACATACACATATGAATATATATATATATCTGTGTGTGTGTGTGTAACAAAATCAATATTTGTGTTATACCAAGTATGTTTTTATGATATGGACATGAGAGCGGAGGGGGACATTATCAGTTAGTTAATTGCAATGTCTTTATGATGACTCTTTGGTGAAGGCGTGCAAGTTTCAACAACCACTTTTGTCACTCACATTATCGATTGGCTAGGCAACCCCATGCTCTTTGAGGATTCTGAAGACTAACCCAGCAATAATTACAAAATATGAGAGAAAAATAAATACACAACATAAAGATTTATATTTGATTTAGTAAAACATATATATTCACGATGGATGGAGATCTGACGAAAGTCTTCAATATGTGTAAAATTAGATATTACAAGTTGCAGCCCTTCATTGTATAATTTTCAGTGTCTCTTCCTTTTAGGATTTTCAGTGTCTCTTGATGATCGCACTTCAAACCATAAACAGTCTTATATATGAGTTACAAGAGAGTACTGATTAAGATCCACAATCCATGAACAAAAAATGAGTCACCTAGTAACAAATTTTAATAATTCAGAAAATTAGTTGCAACTTTTAAAATTCAGAGAGTTTCTTACAGATTTATCAATAGTTCCGAGGAGTTTATTGTTTTTTATTTTTTTATAGATTTATTGTCTCAAAAATCAATGTGACACTTTATTTACCGGAAAAATAAAAACAAAAATCTCCACGAGTACATCATAGCATCCACATTCAAATATTTTGTTGAAAAATAATTTTTAAAGTCACTTGAGAGGTGAAAAGATCATGCCAATTGTGTGTATATATATATTTTTATCATTTGGTACGCACCGTAGACCTACTTGGGTCCCACACATGGCATAAAATACATTGTCTCTACGGTTTTAATGTTTGATTGATTTTAAATGGCAAAGTCAATCTATATGGAGCCTACTAATTTGATGGACCTACAAAGGCGGCCAAGGCCAAACACTCTAATCAACGCCGGTGGACTTAAACTTCGTCCACTCAGTCCTTCTATCTCAGTAGTTTTCCTGAATATTATATTCCATACACAAGAAATTAGCTCATTGAAGTTAATGAATTCATTATTATTATTATTATTATTATTATTATTATTTTTCTTCAAACATTCAAGTTAAATAATGTTTCAATACATTACTTGTAAGTGTTTGCATTTGATGCTACCCACCAATATGTTCGTAAGTGATAACTTTTATTCCTCTTTTCTTTTCTTTTTTTAAGGCAAGAATGTTAAATGAGAAGTTAGATGTGCAAAAGTTCGAAATCAGACTCTCAAAGACAATGGGGAGTAACCCAACCACTGGTTTAGGAAGGTATTCGCTCCGTATGTGATAACTAACCGAGACTATTGATTGTAAAACATTACATGTAGTAAGAAAAAACGTTAGCATATTTGCTTTGAAAAGTGTTATTCAGGTGGGCTACTAGTTAGGTTTATTCGTCAATGTGAAATAATTAAGGTCACATTAATAGCCTGGCCTAAGTGGCGTTTTCGTTTTCTATAACAAATCCATCAGTTGCTATGAAGCACGAATATGAATACAATACGATACGAAAAATATTTCGAAGTTCAAAAAAATAAGATACGGTATGGTATGGATACATCAATATATATATATAAATAATATATTTGTTATCATTTTATTCATATAATTATAAATAAATTATTAAGTTGTAATTTAGAGCTAGATATTATTTTTGTTTTCTTAAATTTTATATTATTTTCTAATTAATCCATAATATATTTTAGATTGTATTGAATTCCATTTTTTTTATAAAAAAAAAAAAAATTACAATATTACCGTGTGTCGTATCCTTAAAGTGTTCAAAATGTATCATTGCCATGTCACAACCGTGTCAGACCAAAAAATATAATATTTTTAATTCATGATACTTCTAGTCGTTTTGAACAAGTATCATTCATGTATTCAAAAAGTATCTAAATATCTGAAATCCCCGTAATAGCTTAAAAGAAATATTTGTACGTCCTTGTTTCTAGAAGTATTTTGGTAGTTTGAGACTCTTTTCCTATTGTACATCCAATCAGTGGCGTAGTCAGGAATTTCCTTCAGTGGGGGCAATTTTTAACAACAATAATATATATATATATATATATATATATATATATATATATATATAAAAATTAAACAATACTAAATATTTTAGAATATTTTTCATATTCTGAAAGCACTGAATAATAACATCATTGTCAACAATATTAAATATATCTCTCTCAATCTACACAACCATCATATCATTCATCCAGTGGTCTTCCATTCGATTGCGCAGTCGAGTTTTCAAAATATTCATGATATAGTAATCGTAAATTTAGATGATAAATATATATATATATGAGATTACCTGTCTCCGCACTGCAGTATTTGTTTGGATTTTATGAATTTTTAAAATGTTAAAGACTCGCTGAACGAGAAATGTTGAAGACTGAAAATGTGATGGAAATAATGCATTTATTTGTGATAAAGTCAAAAGTGTGAAAGAATATCTTGTATTTTTGGAGAAAGTGGAAAAGAATATAATATTTTGGTAAAGTGGGAAAAAAAATATCATATTTTTTGGAAAGATTATATTCTTTTTTTTTTTTTTTTTTGTAATACCATGAATGGTCAATTGGTTATATATATATATATATATATATATATATATATATACATATAGTATATATATGTGCAATGTCAAATTTTATCATATTTTTTGGAAAGATTATATTCCTTTTTTTTTTTTTTTTTTTTTTTAGTGTAATACCATGAATGGTCATTTGGTTATATATATATATAGTATATATATATGCAATGTCAAATTTTAGTGGGAGCAATTATACAAATATAAAAATATTTTCATATAAAATTAAAAAAAATTAAAAGTTCAGTAGGGCAGCTGCCCTAACTTGTCCTTATGTGGCTACGCCACTGCATCCAATGCATTAGATAGAGAAAACAACACTACATTATAAGAAACATATACACAACACATGGAGTAAGAAAAATGATATTTAGGCCCCAAAAGTCTACCTGATTTGTCCTTCCAAGATTCAAGTGCAAGCATATGTGCCCTTGTTTTTCAATCCTCGGGAAGTGAAGGAAGAAAAAGAAGCATCCCCTTAAGTAGAAACGAGGGTTAACATGTACTGCAATCGAAACATTGTGGCTTTTCAGTGGACTCTCTAAGTTCTGCAGCCTACCTTTCTTGATAGTAAGACTTTCCAGTTTATCAAAGGAACAATGTAGTGGGGATCAATTCCCATTATGGGTAATTAATCAAACACTATGAATAGCATAGTGGGGTTTTCCGGTCTTGAATACATAATATGGTAGAATATTCGCGTTGTATTTTCTCAGAATTTGCACACGTATCACACGTTCCTTCTATTTCTTCAAGCAAAGCTCTAATGTGATTTGACAGATGAAAGCAAGGCATTCTATCTAATTCCTTAAGGGAATTTGTTTTCTGATTTTTTTGATTTTTTTTTTTTTAATTTCCCCTTTTCTGTTTCCTTCACTATTTATTGCTTTTTTTATAAAAAAAAAAAAAAAAAAAAAAAAAAAAAATTATGGAAGCATGGAGGTTGAGCATTTTGCTTTAGGACTATTTCTATATTATTGTGTATACTCTTTTAATATCCTTTCTTTATGTCTTCAGGAAGCTTGGAACAAATTTAACTCAGAAGAACGGTAGCTGATGCTTATCTATGTCTGCAGAAGGGCATAAAAGATTTGATGTGATAGCACATCCTGTAATTTATACAACTAGCTAGTAAAGTCCTCTATATAAGTCTAATATATATATATATATATATATATTCAGAATGTTAGCTTCAATTACATGGAAATTGGCAGGAAAGAAGTATTATTGAAAGAAAAGTGGGTAGCTCTTTATTATATTTGTCATAATTTATAGGGCGAAAAAAATCATTCCACTCGTGTGGTCTTGTTACATGAGGTTGCAACTGGGGTGAGTTGAGAGCTCAACTCAGGCTCAACCCAATGTGTTCAAACCCAATCCAAATGCACCTTCAATCCATGGATCTCAACCCAAGCCCAACCCACTCCTAAATATTTTAAGTTGGGCCAAAAAAAATTTTGGTCTCAGAAATTTTGGTTTTTTTTTTTTTTTCCAACCCTAGACCTCAAGCTTGAGAATTTAAACCCAAACCCAGTAGGACAAGGATATTTTTCAAAGGATTGATATGTGATAAATCAAGATCTAAAGAATAGTTATATATAATATATTCAGAATTATAAATATAAAAAAGTTAGATTAAGATTCAGGTTATAGCTGGGTCTTCTTGTTGACACCTCCATTCCAGTTCAAACCTAATTAAGTTTTGGTAAGTTCATTTTGTGTTTCAGAAATAGTTGTCCAAGTTTTTAAAAAATGGAACTCGTATCTAATTGGGTTCTCGTTGACAATAATTATTGATCAACTAATTTTTTTAAAAAAACATTTGAATTATATAAAATATTATATTTAAAAAATAGAAAAGAATTCTAATTAACAAGTTGAACATTATTGAAGATTTGAAGTTATACATTGTTCCAAGTTATTGAAGATCTGAAAAAGAAGAAAAAAAAAGTTGTTCTTTCGATGATGATTTTATTACAACAGATTACTTTTACAACAACAAAAGCAAACACCATGCCATACTCTTATTATCATAAATATATAAAGCCATGATTCTCTTTCTTATGCCTCTAAAACCTTGCCATTGGCATGGTCTTTTCAACTAGAATGTAGAAGCAATCCCTTCTCAACCTTGCCGTTGACATGCATGGTCTTTTTCACTAGAATGTGGAAGCAATCCCTTCTCTCGGCATGTCTCAATCGCTCCTTTGAACATGTCCTCCAAGATGTACTAAAACTCGAACCCCATCCCTTTCAACTTCTTCGACGAGAAGGAGATGACTTGCAAGTCCTTCTCGATGCCCTTAAACCTATCATGGCCATTGTCAAAATCATTAACCAAGTCAGTTTTCACCATACGAAGAAACAATAGAGCGTATAGTTTTCTCCAGTCTTCATTCGCTTGACCGTATTTAAAGTAAAGATCGCATATAGATCATATAACATATAACACTCTATACGTTCTAAAAAATATCAAACATTTAATTTTGGAGCAAATAAAGACTTGACTACTGAAAAGACTAAAATGTCCCTCTATAATTAAATGGGCTCCATTTTATAAATTGAGACGATTTTTGGTACGATTTTATATTCTGAGATTGATGTGAGATGGATTCGAAATAAATTTTAGTGTGTGTGTGTGTGTGTGTATATATATATATATATATATATTTTGGATGGTAAAGCGAACACACACACACTTTTTTGGCCACGCCAGGGCTCGAACCCCTCCCCTCTTCTTTGAAGATCGGGAAATTATACCATTGGGCCAAAGGCCCTTTAGTATATATTTATATAGGATTAATTTCACTGACACCCCCAGTAGTTTGGCCAAATATCAGTCTAAAACATCTTTCGAAAATAACTATCACTTTGGTCCATTTTCGTTTTTCCGTTACTGCCTTCGTTAAAAACATGAGAAAAGACATGTTTGCCCCTAATTTTTTAATCACATTTATTCCAAAGAGTCAGATAACCTAATTACTATTTAATGATTGAAATAACATATTTACCCTCATTCAGATGACATATTTACCCTTCTTTGCCATTGAAATCAACTAACCACCTCCCCTTCTATCTCTCTCCTTCCAACACGAAGACCACTCGATGACATCGGACGACTGGGTGACGGCGGCTCTGGCAGACGATGCGGTGGTGGCAGAGCTGTTGTTATCGATGAAGCATTCATCGAAATCTTACGCACCGCCGCCACTACAGCTTCTGCCGCTCGGGTAGGGACACCGCCAGCAGCGTTCGAAGCCGTCGGCGAAGAAAGACCATGACTCCAATAGATGCAGCCCCACAACGCCGCTCTCTTGGAGCGGCGCCACCGCATCTCCCAGCGACGGCTGTGACGAGTCCAGCCGGCCCTCCAATCCCTCCTCTGCCGCCATATCCAAAGGTCTGTATTCGTATCTCTCGCACAATTTCACCTTCCTCTAATTATTCTCCTTATCTCCGGCGTTGGGTCAGTTTCCGGCCACCTGTTATCGTGTGTCAGATTTCCGGCTAACTGAAACACTCTTGCAAGTGAGGCTAATTATTAGATGGACAAGGGGATGAGGAAAATTGGAATTCTGCAATAGTGGGTTTGCTTGTGTGTATTATATATATGAGGAAAATTGGAATCCTCGCCGGTGTTGGTAGGAAAATTGGAATCCTTGCCGGTGTTGGTGGTGGTGTTATGCTTGTGTGTAATATATATATATGTGTGTGTGTGTGTGTGTTTGGGGGTGGGGGGGTAAAAATGTCATTTGAATACTTAAAAAAAATAATTTAGTCAGTCAAAGTAAAGTTAAATGAGGGTAAACATGTCATTAAGTGGGTCAAACCAAAGTCAAAGGGTAAGAATGTCTTTTTACATGTAAAAAGTGGTCTGACATACCTGTCAACTAACTTTTGGGGTGTGAGTGAAAAACGGAGCAAACGTTTGTAATGTGAGTGATAATTATTTTCGAAAGATATTTTAGACTGATATTTGGCTAAATTACTGGGAGTGTCAGTGAAATTATCCCATTTATATATATTGAAGAGGCTTACTCAGTGGGGACATTGTACTCGGGCCATATCTCTCATGAGGAGCAAATGTTTCTTCCCTCTGCTTGAGGATTCTCATACAAGAATATGTGAGATTGGCACAGATCATCAAAATGCACAAATTGACCTTGCTTTATAATTGAGTAGTGAGCTTCATTCCCTGTACAATTTAATAACCTTTAACAACTCTCTCTCTCTCTCTCTCTATATATATATATATGCAAATTAAAATGTACCTGTGATTGGTGAAAGAGCAGTAATTAGGCTTGGTGGAAATGTTGGAGTGATAAAAGGGCCCACCACTAGTGTTGGTATAATACTGATGAAATTAATGTTGTTCTCTTTAGCTGCGTTGACCCATGCTGCTTTCTCTGCCAATGTTTTTGACACAAAATACATCTGCATATATGTATATATATATATATAGATAGAGATAAATTAGATCCATTGTTGTTTTAATTTTATTTTTGTTTTCTCAACTTCTGAATAAAATATTCCCCAAAAGTCAATATTTCGTTTAGAAGGACTCGAACTTTCAACCTTCCCCTTTGCGGATAAGAGATCATTAAATATTTCTAATCATATAGAATAAGGTTTTTCTTATATGTTTAGAATTGTTTTAATTTCACACTATCTTGTTATCTTGCTAGCATGGAAACTATATGCATTAGCATTAGATAGGATAATTTCGGGCGCGGGCTCATTGGAATCATGTCTGTGGGTGAAAGATTGAACTTTCCTTTACATAGTGTCCCGAAAATTTAGTCGGGGCAAAAACCCATATGCTCAGTTATTAGGGCATACCTTATGTATGTATAAAGATAAAGTGGCAAAGATTGATAGAGGCAATGAAAATACTAACCCAACCAGTCATCTTCTTCTTATAGATGAAATCCAAGTCACTCCAATTGGTTCCATCAAACACAAATTGTTGGTGTTCTTGGACATCGACTGTTCCAGCTGAGGATGTGAAGACTAGCCTCTTCACTGTCTTCGCTTTCACACATGATTTTATGATGCTCAACACACCGTTGATTGTCGGGTTAATAACTTCATTCTGTTGTACACAAAACAAAAGAAATTTAAAGGGTTAGAAACTCACACAAAACTTCAAAAGTACTAGTTATAGTGGTTGTGGCTATCATTTACAATATTTGTCAGCACCCCACATTTTCCTTGGTTATATATATTCTTGTCGCGTTTTAGCACTGTATTGACTTTACCTCTTCCACGTGGCAAGAAAATACACCACTGCTTGCAAATAATTTATCGACCATAAATTTGGTGCTTGTGATGTCTATATATACACCATTATGAGAATAATGAATAATTAAATAATGTGGTTGTATTTTTTTTAATAAAAATAATCATTCTTAACTCTTTCAAGAACACCATTTTTTTATGGGATAAAATGACTAATTTTTTTATTTTTATTTTTGGTAAGTAGATAAATGACTAATTATAAAAATACCAATTAAGAAAAAAGCTATTAATTAAATATATTGTCAACGAAGCGTACTGCGCACATAGCATATGATAGTATTGTGTTTCCAGTATTTATGCAAGTGAATTCATATATTGATATAATCATATACATAAATTGGTTAACAAATTCGTGTATATATAATTCACTATATATATACATATACCTCAGGATCCTTGGATTCATAGTCCATAGGTGTGACCACATGAAACTGGTGTGTGATACCCCCGGATTTTCGAATGCGGGTTGGCCAGACCCACGCCCGAATACTCGAGGATATCAAAAACAAAATCGACAATAAACGAACACAGAGTACAAAAGAATAAAGAAGAATAAATAAAATGCTGATAAGAAACTAAAATGATAATCTAATAATAAACCTCAGAATATATTTTCATTAATTAATAAACCCTTCTGATACAACTGATCCTCCAAAATACAACTCGGGAATCCATACTGTGTGTACCTCTAGAAAATCCAAACTAAACAAATGACAACAATAACTGTCTAAATCAGGAAACTGAATCATAAAGGAACTCCTATGTAGCATCGGAAGAATGAAGTAGACTGATCCCCACTCAGCACGAACAACCTCTACTCCTGACGAACACCTGAAAAATAATGGTGGGTCAGGCCCACAAACAAGTTCTACTCTACTACAGTCCAAGCAGAGATCCGATACACGTATACATCCTAGTCAATCCAATAGTAACTAGTAGTCCGTATATATATATATACACACACACTAAAGGAACCTCACTAGACTATAGGGTTGTCTCAACCTGAATAGTAGGCAACATGCAAAACGCACATATAGTGGGCATGAGTACCTAGACCTACCAGGGTACACAACTACACTATATCTAGCTACACATCCTTGGCGATATCCGCACCCTAACCACTGATCCTGAGACTCAAGCTCATATCATGGCACCATACTTATATATATAAAATCTAGTAACCATCCTATCCAGTATAAATTAATCCTCCATAAGTCATTCAACTTGTTCAGCTGACCTGACTTGAATATAAGTAGGACTTAACATTTTAGTTAATCCATTCCCTTATATAAAATAGGTAGGACTTAACTGATAAGTTAATCCGTCCCTAGAATGCCACCGTCCCATACCGGTGCATTAAACCACATAATCCAATAATTAATGTAACGATTAAGGAAATACATCAAACAATCCAGAAATAACTATGATAATATGATATCAAGTTATCACAAAATAGGAATGACTTATTATTTATTTAAGCTTCATATATTATATATCCTACATAGACTGAATCTTATACATATGATGATATTTTATTATACCGTCAAATAAGCATTCTCCATATCCAATTCATCCTACACATTTAATCTCAATTGCTAAAACATATTAAAAGATTAAATTCATTCGTTTGTTTAAAACATTCAAATAGCAAGCATCATTATAATTGAGTCTATTTAAATTTATTTAAACCCAAACCTAGTTTCTATTTAATGATCAAGAATCCTAGACATGTTTTTACGTTCCATCGTTCCACAAATATGTAAAATACATAATTTAAACATGTAAAAATTCACACCGGAAATCAAATCAAAATCATGCATTTATCAATTCATAACACAAAAACAGATATGAACCAAATTCATAAAACCTATGTTCTAATCCAATTAAACATGCATAATTATTTAATTTTATGTGTTTAATAAATTCTGGAATTTCCTAGGCACGTACAGAAACACGAATCAAAGGGAAAGAGATAGAAGTAGAACTTGCCTTAAACTTTCGGATCGAAAGTTAAACTTCTTCTTCTTGATCTTCTCTCTACAGGGTTTTTTCTCCTCCTTCCTTCCTTTTCCTCCTTTATTCTCTAACTCTCCCTTTCTCTAGAATATATCACGTGAATATTTCTAGCCCCCTTTTATAACCTATAGCTATATATTTATAGGCTAAATAAAATAACCCTAACCCTTTTCCCAATCCAAGTCAACTTAAAAAATATATATATATTAAAATATTAAAAAGGTAAGTAAAATATGTTACATATATAATTTATGTATATGTTTATTAAATAAATAAATTATACACATTACATTATTTATTAATGGATTATCCAATAATACTTAAGTTACCATAATATTATAAAGTAACTTAAAACATAACACGTATCAAATTTACGTATATTTTTATTATTTAAATACAAAACATCTACATCAGATTAAATATTACTATCCAAGTTACCATAAAAGTAATTAATAAATTACTTTCCCTTTTATATATATTAAAAAGGTAAGTAAAATATGTTACGTATATTATTTATGTATATGTTTATTAAATAAATAAATTATACACATTCCATTATTTATTAATGGATTATCCAATAATACTTAAGTTACCATAATATTATAAAGTAACTTAAAACATAACACGTATTAAATCTACGTATATTTTTATTATTTAAATATAAAACATATATATCAGACTAAATATTATTACCCAAGTTACCATAAAAGTAATTAATAAATTACTTTCCTTTTTATATATGCATATAATATATATCTATATATATACATACACAACTATCCATGGGTAATAATCCATACACATCCAACCTCCTATCCAAGTAGTCCATGGGACCTAATTGGTTGGCCCATTACTACTAACCATAACCATAAAAGAAAAATAAAATAAAATAATAAAAGAAAAGAAAACATTTAATTTATAATTAATCACCATTTAAGCACATAATCTAATTAAATAATTAACACATAAACAAATACAAATAATACATAAACACATAATCAAATAATTAAGTAATATCTAATTCAATTAAATACATAAGCAATTAGTCAAATAATCAATTAAACAATTAAAAATATAATTAAAACAAATAAATAAATACCGAGACTATCCTTTTAAAATTAGGGGTGTTACATGGTGGAAGATTAATCTAGACTTGTCTAGATTCATCTAAGAATACCAAGTGATACTTGGGAAGGTGCAAAGAATTTCATAATAATTGCTAGTACATTGAACATTTTGGTGTATATGAAATATTTTAGTTCATTGTGTGGTTCATAGCATGTATTAAATTCATGTACTAGAAGTATCCATTGAGTAGTATAAATAGGTGAGTCATGTAAGTGTATTTCAACACAAAAACAATTGAGCAATACAAGATAAATAATTCAGCTTTATAGATGCGAGTGTTTCTGAATTGTGTGTTTACTAATTCAGTTAAATATAAGTGAGTGTATCCCATTTGTGTTCACTAGCCCACCAACTCCAACAAGCCCACCAACTCCAACAAAGTGGTATCAAAGCCTTGTTACAAGATCGGCAAAGAAAAATAGCGTCTAACAACATGTTGCAGCCCCAACTTCCCAAGTTTAATGGGAAGAATTACAATCAGTGGAGTATATAAATGAAGGTGTTGTATGGATCCCAAGATTTATGGGAAATTGTTGAAAACGATTTTGAAGAACCAGAGAATCAGGCGGGGCTAAGTCAAGCACAACTCAATGAGTTGAAGGAGAACCGAAAGAAGGACAGGAAGGCGTTGTTCTTCATTTATCAAGCAGTTGATGAAGTAATTTTTTAAAGAATCTCGACAGCCATTTCAGCAAAGCAAGCGTGGGATACCTTACAGGCCACTTATAAGGGTGAAGATAAAGTTAAAGTGGTGAGATTGTAAGCTCTTCGAGCTAAATTCGATACGATTAAGATGAAAGATTCTGAAAGTGTAGAAGAATACTTTAATCGTATTATTTTGATCACTAACCAATTGAACGTGAATGAAGAAGATATTCAAGATCAAAGAATTGTTGAAAAAATCCTCCGAAGTATGCCCAGAAAATTCGAACGCATCGTTGTAGCAATTGAAGAGTCAAAAGATCTGTCGATTTTGTTAGTTAATAGCTTGATGGGATCACTCCAATCTCATGAGCTTCGATTAAAGAATTTTGATTCAACGTCTCTAGAACAGGCATTTCATGTTCAAACTTCTTTTAGAGAATGTTAGAAAGGAACAAGATGTGATCGAGGTGGCCGAGGAAGATGAAGAAATAGTGAAGCAAGAACTTTTGATTATAAGGAAAATGCTAATTTTCCTCCTAATAAAGGAAGAGGAAGAGGAATGAATAGAGGTCGAGGTCGAGGTCGAAATAGAGGACAAGGTAGCGGTCGTGGTGACTCATATCATCTCCAGTGTTTCAATTGTGAAAAACTGGGGCATTTTCAAGCAGATTGTTGGTTCAAAAAGAATGATAATGAAGCAAGCAACAGTTTGACATTTATACACAAGGAGGAAGAAAAGGAAGAAGGAGTTTTCATGTTGGTTTGCAATACACAAGAAGAAGTTTCAGAAAATATATGGTATATCGACAGTAGTTACAGCAATCATGTTACATATATGCAAAAGGGAAATGACGTACGCTTCAACAATGATGTTTGTATGGTCAAAGACAAAAATGGTGGGCTGATTACAAAGGTACAAATGACACAAAACAAAATGTTTCCATTGAAGCTTATATATGAGAAGATGGTCAGTTTTAGTGCCGTGATGAATGAAGAATCGTGGCTATGGCATCACAGATATGGGCATGTAAGTTTCAACTCATTATCCTACATGTGTCAAAAGAACATGGTGAAAGGTTTACCAAGAATCAATAGAGAAGAAGGTGTTTATGAAGCATGCATTTTGGGAAAGCATCATTGAGAGCCTTTTCCCATTGGAAAGGCGTGGAGAGCTTCAAAGCCACTTGATTTGGTACATAAATATTTGTGTGAACCAATGCGAACCATGTCAATGGGAGGTAATCGTTACTTTCTGACATTTATAGATGATTATAGCCAGAAAACATGGATTTATTTTCTGAAAGAAAATAGTGAAGCATTTGAAAGATTTAAAGCATTCAAAGCCCTTGTCGAAAATGATAGTGGCTACAAGATCAAAACCATATGATCTGATCGAGGTGGTGAGTACATCAGTTATAAGAAGTTTTTGATCAAGCATGGTATTCGACATCAGAAAACTGTTCGAGGGACTCCACAACAGAATGGAGTTGCCGAAAGGAAAAATAGAACCATCATGGAGTTGGCTCGAAGTATGTTGACAGCAAAGGGGATGCCAAAGATTTTTTGGGGTGAAGCAGTATCATGTGTGGTATATTTAATAAATTGAGCTACAACAAAAGCTGTT